GAGATGCAAACAGCTTCAGAAGTTCAGAAAGAAGAAGGAGAAACCTTGCTTGCCTTCCTGACTAAACCAGTGGTTAAAAAAAAGAAAAAGATTTCCTCCAACCTTCCTCCCATCTTCCACCATCAACATTGGTCTGACTTACTCAGTACAAGTAACAGAAAGGGGAAGAGGACTCTCCCTACAAGACAGGAAACAATCACACTCCACCCCTTCCACTCCCATCCCACCTTCCAGAAGAAGTATGTTGAGTTTCCATTTAGTGACCAAGACTGATAAACTATTAAATACCAAATCTACACATGACCCCTCTCTCCTATTGTCTTTCAAGGCCTAACTTCAAAAAAGATCCTGATAAAATGAAGATTCTTTTTTATTGTATTGGGAGATACATGTAACACACATATAATCATTTTCTCATTAACATCTTTTTATCTGAACACTAAATGCCACTGCCCTAATGCAAGTGCTTTATTATAGAAAGAACTGTCCTCTGTTGCACACGAGGTTCCAAAATGCCGTTCCACTCTGCACAGTGTGGAACGTCCCCACAACAAAACATGGCACTGCTCACAGCCAAAACAAGAAGGTGAACGCCGAGCTTGGAATTGTGACAGAGGAAAGGCCAGAGTGTGAATGAAGAAAATAAGAGAGAAGAAAAAGATGATAAACAGCCTGCCTGGATAATCCCAAAAGAGGAAGAAGAGAGCTTGGAAGAAAAGAATGAGAGGAGAAGGGAATGGGGACGGCAGGAAATGATAGGAAGCACCACAGGTAAAATAAATGAAGGAATAAACAGGCAGAAAAATCCTAAACCACAAGTACTAAAAAACAAAGTCAGTCCAAGGAGGAAATGTCACAACTAGCAAAACAGATGGTGGAAAGGAGGAGAGGGCATCCTACAACACTGAAAACAAACTTCCTTCCCAGCCCCAGCCCATGGTGTGATTAGCTGCTGTCTTGTGGGCTCCCCACCACGCAGTAAATTCCTGGGGGGCCTGAGGCCACATCTCATTAGTATTTGTAGCGCTACAGCCCAGGGAAGTACCTGTAAATAACAGATGCTCAATACTTATTCTTTAAATGTATGAACAAATGAATGAAAGCCATTCTTCCACAAAGGGTTACCCAAAGAGCAGAAGCATTGGACTTAAAGACAGAGGAGTCTCAGCGAATCAGAGCCTACAGAGTCTTAGCATTAAATACCTGGCTCCTGCTGCCCAATGTAATAAAAACTTTTCTCCTCATAGAAATAAATGAGAAAGACTCTGGCTCTAATTCTCCACAGATCCTGGTTCCCATCCTGTGCTGACCTCACCCTGCTGTTATGAGCCTGGAGGCCGATCACTTTGCAGAATCAGATGTGCACTTTCTCCATGAACTTGTTCTGAATCTTTAAGCAAACTCCTCAAATGGTCAAAATACTTGTTGCATGATCAATGTATTCTCCTTTCCAGACAGTT